TTAGTTAATACCATTAAAATAAGTTAAAAAAATGTTTTCTAAGTATATTTGAGTATAATTTTATTAAGTAGTGCCAAATATCAGTGTAGGTATATAGTGCAAGGAGTACAATATGATAACTTAAACATTGAATTTTATACATCTTAAAGTTAATCATCCACATCGTCATCATCCGCAGCCAGGGATGGTCCGTATGACGAATTTTCAGGTTTCCGACTGTCAAAAAGGTGTAAACGTCGTATACCTGCATAAAATGTAGTAAACGTCATTTATTTCAATATTATCACCATATACAGTAATTTTCATGAACATATATCATTTTTACTGTATATCTGGTTATTCTTTACTAGAACTGATAAAAAATTCTGAATTTTTTTAAGAAAAAAATGTTGATATTCGATATGAATTTGAATAAAGCATACGTTATTTCCAAATCGATAAATGTAAATAGCTATTTTATAAAAAACATAATGGTTTTGAGTGGGTTTCCGACGTTTCTGACGTATGTATTATACGTCGGAAATGTATGTCATTTACGTCACTGTTTCTGACAGGCCATCTCCGTCCGCAGCATCACCAACTTCTGATAATTGCTCAATATGCAAAAGGGCATTTGACACACTTTCGGGTCCGTGAATAAAAAACTTGTGCAAAATGGTAGGCATATTATACCAAGGATACGTTTCAACAAAAAGTCGTCCTGTATTGTGTGCATACATTTGAAATTTTTCATTATTAACCTCATGGCCACTGGATACAGCTATAACCGACACGTGCATTTTTATTAAATTAACATATATTTTTGTTATTTCGGCAGATTTTTTTAGCGTTTTGGTGCGTTTTTTTTTATTTCTTTAGCTAAAAATGTCATCTTGTCATTCATTGTTTGAGCGCTCGAATTCATCATAAGCTTCGACGATTATAAAAAACAACGTTCGAACTTGTATCAATAAAAAATGCTAATAAAGATCCCTTTTACCCGACTACTTGAAACTGCACAACACAGGCACTATTTGTCAGAACAATGAATATTATTAATATAAACAAAAACAAAATATTATTGTAACAAAGAATATTATTAAAAGAAACAAAAATAACAACAATAAAATAATTAGAAAAAATAACATGAAAAACAAGAAAACACAACACTCAACAACATCACCAGCCACGAGATCAATGTGACTTTTAGCTAATTTGACTGCTGCAACACTTGTATTAAACAATGCATAGCTTCTAAAAGGCACAAAAGGGCAGCGTAAAATTTTGCAATATAACACAGATTTATGTCCTCTTTAATATAAACCAAAAAATATGACACGAATCTGGACGAATAATAACTATTTATCCATTTAAAATATAAAAATATTAATTTTTTTGGCATTTTCAATATAAATAACTAAATCTTAATCACTTCCAAACACAATTTCATACTCAAATGTTAACGAAGTATTTGCAAAATAACCCAAACTTTATGGTTCCGTTGAAAAATGTTTAACTTTTACAATACTTTTTAAAATAAATAAAATTTTCAACGGAAACGTTTTCATTTTTTTCATCCTTTTTTGGCACAAAAATTTGTATGAAGTTTGACTTTGACATTTATTTCAACGACAAGTGATGTAGAATTTTATATACTTTAACCGTGTGCAAAAATTTTTAACGATACTTAAAATTTAATTTTTTAATTAATCCAAGGAAACAGGGTATTCTAACCCACTGTGCAGCGTAATGAATTAGGTCTAGAATGATGTGTGTTTAGTTTCTTGAAAATCGGTTCAGATTTAGATATAGCTCCCATATAAATTTTCGTCCGATTTAATGTAAATGCTGCACCAAAGTCCACATATATTTTTCTACTTGCACGAAATTTGGCATAGCGTACTGAATAAAGTCTAGAATTATGTGTATGTTTCGTGAAATCAGTTCAGATATAGATATAGCTCGGTTCAGATTTTACCCAAATTGATACTATTACATAACGTGTGGCAAATTTTGTTCAAATCGGTTCAGATTTAGATATAGCTCCTAGATATAGATTCATCGGATTTTTAGTAAAAGGTGCACCAAAGACCCAATGTTAGGCCGTTTGCTACAAAATTTTGCACAACGTACTGAAATTTATATTGCCTAATGTTTTCAAAATTTTGTAGGAATCGTTTCCGATTTAGATATAGCTCCCATATATGGTTTCGTCCGATTTTAGTTAAAAGTACACCAAAGACCCAACGTTGGGCCGATTGACATAACATCTTGCACAACATACTGAAGTTAATATAACTCAGCATGTGTTAAGTTTTGTTGAAATCGGTTCAAATCGGTATATATTTTCTCCCGATTTTAATTAAATTGATGCACCAAGAACTCGAAATGTGGTCATATGTACAAAACATACTGAAATTTGTATAACCTAACCTGTGACAAGTTTCGATTAAATTGGTTTATATTTCGATATAGCGTTTGTATATATTTTCGTCTGATTTTAAGTAAATGGTGCAAAAACTTCTCATGTTTATCAGGTATTTATCCAAATAATCAACGGGTGTCCGATTTATATTTGCTTTAAATTAATTTACAATGTTAGGATTCATCTGTTGAATATACCCAAAGTGGTGAAGGCTATCATATAGTCGGCTCCGTCCGACTTTACTACTTTCCTTACTGGCTTTATTTATTTTACTGTTGCTGTTGTCTGTCTTTGCTTTATGTGAAAGAATGATAGATAGCTGGAAAATTTATTGAGGGTAAAACTGTGATTTGTTGAGGCACTTCTGATTCGCGTGACTTCATTTCAGGTGAATGTTCGATTGGTGCGAACGTTTCGATTTAATTGAGGAATTCCATATATGACACATGAAGTAATTCAAGTGACACATTGCCACCCTTCGTGGAACATAAATCATTTGAGAGATTTAAACCTTTAATCCGATTGAAATGAATTATTGGAAACCAGGAATGCAGTAGAGGTATGCTTTAAAATTGAAATAGAAATTTGGTTTCGAACGTATAGATGTGGACTATTGGTAAATTAGAATTAAAGTACATTAAGCCATAATGGGGATACAACGTGAAATAAGTAGAAATTTTGTTCAGGTGTTGTGTAACGTAAAATAAAATTTTGAAGTAAATTTTCAGTAGAAAAAGAGTATCATTTCAAAATCTGGTTTTGTGCAGGATTATATATCTACAGGATATTTTCACCTTGAGGTGGAGGGCATCAACATTTTTCAATAATAAAAAGGTCTGGACCTTCAAATTATTGCTGTGTCATTTTAACCCTTTCAGTGTTTTTGTCGAATATATTCGACATTTAAAATTACTCTCTTCCTTTGCAATTTTTCGTTTATCCTATGTACCGTTACAATTGATGTCACTGTTTTTGATGAAAGACAGGCAAAACTGTCCGAGGGTTAAAATAAAAATTGTTTTTTTTTTTCTAAACTCTGTGTCATCATATGATTTTAAGTACACAATTTTTGTTGACACTGAAAGTCTGCTAGCAGGCTGATGTCTGTGAAAGTTAAAGACCGAATTACAGGCAGGTGATTGCGTGAGACATTAAAAAAAGGGCATATATTGAACTTTTTAAAGCCTTGAAATCAACTGTCAAAGCTGAAAAATTTGCTTCGTCTCTGAACACAATTTGTCGATAAAAAAGTGGATCTTCGGCCAACTTTACATGAATCCATTCACTAAGAAGTCTGTATTGTGTTACGACGTTCGATTTAGTACATTTTAGTACTATTTAGTACATTTTAGTACTATTCGGATATTCATAGTTCGAATTTCCAAAAAGCCTTTCGCCTCTTTCCAATTTTAAGAGTTCTAGCTCTACCGATTCGCCAAACACAAGTGATACCATATTTAGTACTTTTTATTACTTTCCGTGTCGTTTTTGTACGAATTTCCAAAAACCCAGCCTTATCTGACACCTTCGATCTAAGAGTGACCCACATCCTAAACTTCTAGATTTAGGCTTCATCTAGTCAGTCAGTTACTTTGCTCTTTTATTAATATACAATCGTAATCGTTTATAACGACGCAATTTTAAACGACATATCGGTTAAAACAACTTAACCAAACGTCCCGAGAAGCGTTCTGCCTTTATGTTGATATCGTTTACAACGACAAATCGCTTATAGCGACCAATTTCGCCGGTCGATGATTTTGACTGTTGATTTATCGTCCTTTTTCACCTTTGCCCTATCCTTGTTCAGAAAACTTTAAATCCACCTACTCCAATAAATTTCGTCATAACTCAAAAACTATGGTGAATTTGTCATTCTGGATTCTTAGTATACTCCTCAAGGACTTTCCTCTCCACAAGGAATTTCACAACCTCAGATAATGAGCTCGATTTTGCCACACAGAGTAATGTTTGGAACGGATATTTCAAGTTCGAAGATTCAGGGGTGTCTTTTCATGGAGGCTAAAACTAAAATGTCCCTCTTTTAGTTATTTTAGATTAGAAAATAATGAGAAGCCAAAATGTAAAATTACAATAATATCATTGAAGTGAATGTTCTTTAGATTTCGCTAATTATCTCTTTTGTGCAGAAAAGCATACATACGCTCGTTATATGATTACCTCTATTAGTGGCGACTATATTTCTTCCTTTCTTAGCTAATTTAATAATATTTCATTTAGGGGGGAAATAGCACACCTCCTTCTCTATGTCTCTCTCTCCCACTACAATCTCGATGTGTAATCATCAGCTGTTTAAATTCATGTTATGGTCCTCTACCATCCACAGGTGTTCGACAGATACTTAATTGATAATGGTTTACAATACACTTAGCTTCAATGTGCAAATATTCATCCATTCATTCCACTAACAGCATTTTCGTGTAATTAATGTAGTTACAGCAACAACAACAACTACAACAACCACATCCGTCTGGTATACCCACATAGCTTATGGAAAAATAAATTAATTCGTTTTCACCATCACCGCCACCCACCACTGATATTCTTTGTCTGTCTGTGTTTTGTATTCTTTCAGGTTGGGATGATTGGAGCGATTTCACCGTTTGCAGTGTGGCCTGTGGCAAAGGCGTTCAGCAGCGCTTCCGACGTTGCCTTCTCGATAATCCCATGGTCGATATGAAAATGAATTTCAATGAAATCGAGGAAGAAGAAATCGAAGCCGAGGAAGAAGAGCTGGAGGTGGAAGAGCAAGTGGAACAGTACGATGACGATAATGAACTGATGGGCGATGAGGTTACGGGAGATGCCGAGGAGGAAAAACAATACGACGATATTGACAGAATGATATTTGAGGATGATGATGACGATGAAATCATTGAACAGCTCAAAGCTATCGACAACTATGACAGTGCCGATGATGATGACGATGGCGGACGTTCGATGCTGAATGCTGTTGCTGGCGGCGGTGGTGGTCAAGCTGTTGCCTTTGGCTTTATAAATGAACGTTATGAAAAACCGGATGTTAGAAATAAAAAGCATCGTAGAAGAGCTCAACTATCACAGGATGTTGCCAGGCAACGGAATAGAGCAAAGATCGACGACGAGGCGATGGATGGCGTTGAAGTGATGACCCAAACGGATGTATACGAAGTGGACAACAATATGTTGCACTTTGTGACAGCACCATCAGCGTCACTAGGTGGAAAAACACAATCACGAAGGGCCAAAAATAAACTTAAAACAAGAACAGCAACGACAACAACTGAACAACCCGAAATTATGCGCATATTTGAGGGTGATTTCAACGATGTCTACAGTGAACGAATTTACAATGAAAGTCCATTTAATGGTCCCCACTTGTCGGAGGATAAACGAGACTTGAAAATGCACAAAAAAGGACAGCGTTCGAAGCATAAACGTCATAAATCAGCAAAAATTGTGAGCACAATGTTCTGCGAAGGCTACAATATCGAACAGAGAACGTGCAATAATTTTGAATGTAGTGGTAAGTGAAACAATTGAATTTATTAACGTTTTGCCTTTGTGTATATTTGGTTGTCGTTGATAGGTTAGAATAATTTATGATTATGGTTTTTGGAATGCTTTAATTCTATTTGGTTGAATAAAATTAAATTTTGATGGCCTTAAATATAGATATACCACCATAACTGTCAATAACTACTACGGTTTGAAAATCTTGAACAAAATTATTAAAATGAGAGACTCAATAGCTCTAAGTGGGTTTTAAGAAATTTAGTTTGTCCATAATAGATAGAAGTAAAAAAAATCAACTTCGCAAATAACAATTTTAAATTTTCAAAGGCAAGGATTAGTATTCCTGATTTTAAGAGACTGTCATACATCTATGCAGAACATGATCGACATATATCCATCGTTGCAGAAAATTGGTAATGCTGGTCCATTTCTGACATAGTCTCAATATATATTACTAATTCCTGTTCCTGAAGAATAGAACATGTTCTTCTCCTTTTTACATAGTCTCCATACTAAGGTCCCACTTAATTATCGGTTTGTTGAGGTTCCAATCTCAAATTTTTCATAGAGCAAAAAAAACCCAGTAAGTAAAGTAGTAAAGTCGGACGGGGCCGACTATATGATACCCTTCACCACTATGGGTATATTAAACAGGACTATTAACATGAAATTGGATGAAATAAAATATGTGATATTTTTCTAAATGTGAAACGACCTTAATCTATTCATAAACATGTCATTCGTTCGTTATAATGGGACAAAAGTATGTAAATCGACTTCAAACAAATATCAATAGGTCATCCATTGGCCAATGTCTGTACATCTAGAAAAATCAACTACGTAATTCTATGCTCAATTTTGTACGTTGTGCAAAATTTGATGTCAATCTGATTAACATGAGGAGTTTGATGCCCAACTTACTTAAAATCGGGCGAAAATATATATAAAAGATATATACAAATATGAAGCGATTTCAACGAAACTTGTCACAGGTTAGGTTATACTAATCTCAGTACGTTTTGTTTTGGTGCGTCAATTACTTAAAATCAATCTATAATAAAAGGGAGCTATATCTAAATCTCAACCGATTTTCACAAAATTTGGCACACATCATTCTGGACTAAATTTACATTAAATCGAACGAAACTATATATGGGAGCTATATCTAAATCTGGACCGATTTTCACGAAACTTGGCAGACATCACTCTAGGCCCAATTCAGTACGTTATGCCAAATTTCGTGCAAATCGAAAGATATATAGGGGCTTTGGCGCACCATTAACATAAAATCGGACGAAACTATATATGGGAGCTATATCTAAATCTGGACCGATTTTCACGAAACTTGGCAGACATCACTCTCGACTCAATTCAGTGCGTTATGCCGAATTTCGTGCAAATCGAAGTATATATAGGGACTCTGGTGCACCTATTACATGAAATCGGACGAAACTATATATGGGAGCTATATCTAAATCTTGAAACTCGGCAGACATCACTCTAGGCTCACTTTAGTACGTTATGCCAAATTTGGTACAAATCGAAATATATATAGGGACTTTGGTGCACAATTTACCTTAAATCGGGCGAATATATATATGGGAGCTATATCTAAATCTGAACCGATTTTTCCCAATTTCAATAGTGTTCGTGCTTGGGCCAAATAAGTGAGCTGTGCCAAATTTCATCCAAATCGGATAATAAATGCGACCTGTACTTTCTTTACAATTTAACAGAAACAGACGGACGGACGGACATGCATAAATCGACTCAGAAAGTGATTCTGTGCATATTCTCAAAAGGAACTATGGGTCTATCTCGTGTCCTTTTGCCTGTTACAAACATATGCACAAAGACATAATACCCTGTACCACAGTGTGGTGAAGGGTATAAAAACTACTAGCAGACAACTCATAATGACATTGCCCCGTTCATGGGCATCAACATTGCGGTAGTTACCCTTCAATGTGGTATCATTGAGTTCCCCTAACTCAACTAGCATTATTTTATATTTTGTTTTGTTTATCTTTTTTTTAATTTAGCGTTTTGACCTTTCTTCACTTAAATTTTAAAATGCCCAGTTCATAACCCTGAAAAACTGTTGTAAATGGTTTATTGTTTTCTTTAAAATTTTTTTAAGTTTTAATATTTTGCTTTAGGAATAACCATGATTTATTATTGTATACAAATATTGTCAGACCATAACAATAACACCAATAATATTTCACATGTTTTGTTTTTTCGCCTCATTTACAGATGATATCAATGATTTATTGAAGTTTTATCGAAAATATCCCAGCAACGAGGAAACAAGTGCGACATCAACACAAGCATTAAATAACGATTTTAATACAGCGCCATCAGCAGCTGTATCTTCTTCATCATCATCGTCGTCTGCAGCGGCGGCATGGACCGCCACTTCTTCAGTTACAACCGCATCAGCAACTAATTTTAATGGCGGATCTGTTCCATCGACACAGACAAATGATTTGAGTCTCTGGAATGGTTTTACAGAAAATACAAATACCATAACACCAATACCGAAAAATACTGGCTTTGTTAAGACATGGCATAACTTTTTAAATTTTACCATTATGCTGACACTGCGAGCGAAGGTAAGTAGAAATAAGAGATGTGAAAAGGTGTTTATGTAAAGGCAATAAGTCCATATAAACTTTTAAACCGGGCCCTACATTTATATGGAACCAAGTAAAACAGTGTCATTCAGTGTTGGCGACAAATCTATACCGTTGAAACAGACGATGTGGTTTGCAGACGTCTGCAGTATTACTATCTAGTGTTGAGGCGGAGTATTTATACCCTACACAACTATGTTGTCATGTTGTCATATATTGGTCCTAGACCCACCTTTCTGTATACCGATCGTCACATCTCGACTATCTGAGCCGAATAAAACATTTATGTTCGTCCGTCTGTCCATTACATTTTGCAAACACAAAACAGGCCACAGTTTTGGACCAATCTTTATGAAATTTTGCATATGTGATGGGTTCTGGCAAAGATAAAATGGATAAAAAAAATTATTTTTGTTTTTCTCAAGTCGCTCTATAGGCCAAAATTATGACCAGAACATCATGAAATTTTACACAAAGAAGGGGTCTGGCCTTGAAATACGCATGGCTGTTTTGATGATTTGGATTTTTATACCAAATTTTAAGTTTGAAAGATGCATTACAATGCGAAATCGGTTACTCATTTTGAGTATTATCGTGTGTACCAGCCAGACAGACGGTCGTCCATGTATAAATCGACTACACATTTCCAAAATTTGCATAGGTTGCAGAATGACATATGTAGGGATTGATGGTAGTCGGTTTACATATATATATATATAAAGATGTCTGTTAGGATACATATGAAGAATATACTCAAAGTGGTGAAGGGTATTAAATAGGCCCAGTCCGACTTTACTACTTTCCTTACTGGTTATATTTGGACTATGTCAAAATATAAAAAAATATTGAAACTTTTCTGCGAATAATGCTTCCCAGGAATGCAAATTAAACCCAGGTTGATATTGTGACACATTCCATGGATGAACACCTTATTTAAATGATTCCGCATATATGTTTTTCACACTCTTAGGTGCCCAAAAGTGACATCTATAAAATGTTATAGACTCTTATAATATATACTACTAACTTTATTCAACTGAGTCTACACCTTCCATATATCTCCCTTCAACATTATTATATTATTATATATTCCCTTTTATTTACGTATTATGTCTTAATTCAATTTTTTATCACTATATTTCTTTTATGTTCATTCCCTTTGCTTTGATCTGAAACTTGGCTCCTCTTCAACGGCCATTTAACTCGTGTGAATGTGAAAACTTAACCTCATTGGCAGAATGACAGTTATAACTCGGCGACAGCAGTTACAACGGCGACAATATTTTCCATTCACAACGGTACACACAATCTGTACTTGGAAACATATCGAGATGGTTTACACCTGTATTTGGAAAGAGATAAAACCACTGAAATGCTGCCCATTCAATTTAATTTATACGACTATCGGTGGCATCAAGTGGCCATAAGGTGGGTAAAAACTTTGTGGCGAAAACCGGTGTGAATACATGTGTATTGCATGTATGAGTGTGTGTTTGGGAGTATCGTTTTCCCATAAATGTATTTCTGAACATCCTGTATGTGCGTGTGTGTATATATTTGTAATATTCAGCATAAAATGCCTTTGGCCCTTGGCTGAGTTACTGAAATTTACATTTTTATTGGCCATAGTTGAGGTTTTTTTGTTTCTGTTGTTTTGCGTTCCCCATTCAATGTTCAAATGTTATTATATTTTATTTTATGCGAACAACACCAAAAACACAAAATAAATTCATTTTATTACGAATTTTCATATTTGTCTGTTTTTGTTCGTTTCTTTGTTTCTGACAGCATAAAAAATGGTGATTTCATAACGATTTACATCGATTGTTCCTGGTCGAACAGTTTTGTCGTTTCGAAACGTTTATTTTCATTGCCTTTGGATGCCGATGTTGAAGTTGGACGAGGATTCAATGTAAGTATATGAATATCCAATATTGAAAGTAAAAATAAATACCAAATATTGTAATTATATTTTGTAACATTTCAATATAAAACACAATCGGAATTGTGCTATTGAAATTTTCATACATAAAAGAAGGGCAACTCTTATTCGATATTAAAGAGTAATTTTACAGTTCATGAAATTTTATTGCCGTTGTAACGGTGTAATGACACAAGTTTTCTCCGGTTGCTGGGGTGAGCTCACGGAGGCCAGGGTCTGTTACAGAAATTTGTTATCTAGTGACTGAGAGAGTAACAACACAGATTGTTTGGGTTTTAATCAAAATTTTGGTTTATTGCTGGGTTTTCGGGGAGTTACAGTTGGATATTATTATATGCAGGTTTATGCTTTATTAAAATAAATATGTCCTTGTCGTGGCGTTGTGGGAGACCTGGATAAGTTCTCCACTGATCTGCGATGAGAGCTCCGGAGACCTTGATAAGTACTCCTTCCTTGTTTTGGCTCGAGTCCTTTGTGGGAGACCTGGATAAGTACTCCCCCCTGTTAGCCCTGTTACTATGTGCCACCACTTATGGGGTTGTTTCAAAACTACTTTGATTACGGAGTTAAGTTGTGGTCTTAACGGGTTAAATACACCGTACCCAAGAGTTGCGGACACTTCAAGGGTTCATAGAGGGTTAAATACACCGTACCCAAGAGTTGCGGACACTTCAAGGGTTCATAGAGGGTTAAATACGACGGACCCTAGAGTTACGGACACTTCAAGGGGTTCTCCGAGGGTTAAATTCCAGCGGACCCAGGAGTTACGGACACTTCAAGGGTGATAGAGGGTAAATTCCGACGGACCCAAGAGCTACGGACACTTCAAGGGGTTCTTAGAGGGTTAAATTCCAACGGTCCCAGGAGTTACGGACACTTCAGGGGTTCTTAGAGGGTTAAACTTCAACGGACCCAAGAGCTACGGACACTTCAAGGGGTTCTTAGAGGGTTAAATTCCAACGGTCCCAGGAGTTACGGACACTTCAGGGGTTCTTAGAGGGTTAAACTTCAACGGACCCAAGAGCTACGGACACTTCAAGGGGTTCTTAGAGGGTTAAATTCCAACGGTCCCAGGAGTTACGGACACTTCAAGGGTTCCAGACGGGTTAATTCCGGCGGACCCAAGAGTTACGGACACTTCAAGGGGCTCTTAGAGGGTCAAATTCCAACGGTCCCAGGAGTTACGGACACTTCAAGGGTTCCAGACGGGTTAATTCCGGCGGACCCAAGAGTTGCGGACACTTCAAGTCGCCTGTGTTGCTTTGTTTGTTTGTTGTTCTATTGTTGCGTTGCGTTGTGTGGCCTTGAGTTGATCGACCAATGAACCTAACGGGCAGCCAACATTTGATGTAAACAACAACGAGGGTCGCTTTCAAAGTTTGGGAAATTATTCTAGTCTATTAATTAAATATATATATAGTTTCTATATTTATAATTTAATTCATTTTACTTCATTTTAAATTCATTTTACTTCATTTTACATTAATTTTAATTCATTTTCATTTATATTAAGTCTACTGTGTGGACAAAAACGAGGGTATCGACCTTTGTCGTCACAACGGACGTCTGTGACTTAATGATATTCGAAAAAGTAATTATTGATCCTAATAGTGATAGTATTATGTTTTATTGTGATACATTAATACTGATTTTAATTGATTTAGCTGGGGTTAGAGAAAATAAACATAACTATAAAGAACTATAGCTGTACACACAGATATAAAGCTTTTTCGAATTATATCAGTTTCAGGGTTCATTATTTATATAGAATCGGGCGAAAATGCAGGGAATACTGGCCTGTTCATTGAAAAGTTTGTCATTGTGTTGTGTTGGTTACAGTGATTTGACAATTTTGGTGCGATAGTTTTTCACTACAACCAATGTGGATTACACAATAAGGAGTCGATGAACTTAAATCGTTATAACTTTTGCATAAAATCGGACGAACATGTTTATGTTTATAAAAGGGTTTCAAGCAACCTTAATACAAAACATTCTAGACTAAATTCCATACCTGATGCCAAATTGCGTGTATATAGGCACTTCGGTTCACCAAAATTGCTTCTCTATCAGACAAAACAGTAAAGGTTTGGTGCAATATTTATATAAAATCGGTCGAAGCTATATATGAGAGCTATATCTAATTTGAAGCGATTTCAACAAAACTTGGCTACATTAATTGGGACTTAATTCAGAACTCTGTGAAAAATGTTGTCTTATTCAAACAAATATTGGGAGTTTGTGACATAATTTTCATAAAATCGAACGAACATATATGTAACAACTATATCTAAATCTGAGCCGATTTTTATACCCTTCACCGCACTGTGGTACATGGTATTATGTCTTTGTGCATATGTTTGTAACAGGCAGAAGGTAACGAGATAGACACATGGCTCCTTTTGAGAATATGCATAGAATCACTTTTTAAGTCGATTTATGCATATTAAATTGTAAACAAAGTACATGTCGCATTTATGATCCGAATTGGATGAATTTTGGCATAGATCACTTATTTGGCCCAAGGACGAACCCTATTGAAATTGGGAAAATCGGTTCAAATTTAGATATAGCTCCTATATATATTTTCGTCCGATTTTATGTAAAAGGCGCACCCAAGTCCCTATATATCCTTCGATTTGAACGAAATTTGACACAGAGTATTGAAATAGGTCTACAATGATGTGTGTTAAGATTCCTAAAATCGGTCCAGTTTTAGATATAGGTCCAATATATATTTTCGTCCGATTTATTGTAAATGGTGTACCAAAGTCCCTATATATCATTCGATTTGGACGAAATTTGGCGTAGCGTACTGAATTAAGTCTAGAATGATGTGTGTTAAGTTTCGTGATGTAGATATATATATATATATTTTCGTCCCATTTAATCTAAATTATATACCAAAGTCTCTATATATATGTTTCGATTTGCACGAAATTTGGCATAGCGTACTGAATTGATAACAGAACGATGTGTATAAATTTTCTTGAAAATCGGTCCAGATTTAGATATAGCTCCCATATATGTTCGACCGATTTAATGTATATGGTGTACCAATGTCCCTATATATGTTTCGATTTGCATAAAATTTGGCATAGCGTACTGAATTGAGTCTAGAATTATGTGTGTTCATTTCCGTGAAAATCGGTTCAGATTTAGATATAGCTCCATATATATTAATTGCCTTTCTGTTAGGGTGCATCTTTATACCCTTCACCACACTGTGGTGCAGGGTATTATGTCTTTGTGCATATGTTTGTAACAGGCAAAAGAAAACGAGATAGACACATGGTTCCATTGAATCACTTTTTAAGTCCATGTTAAATTGTAAACAAAGTAGGGGAGACTGGGGCACCTTCGGCATCGGGGCACCTTCGGCAATCGTGTTTTCGATATGAAGCTCTCACCGTACATCACTAGTTTCGATACATAGGTATCGAATATCGAAATAAATAACTGACACAAAGTTTGAAATTTCTCGCTAATAAGCTTATTTAGATACATGGGTTTTTGTATTTTTATAGATGTTTCTGTAATATTTCAATTCCATTTCGTAAGTATTTCGTGTATAAAACTTTTTAAATTTTTAAGACCATATTATTAAAAGGTAGTTAACTACGATGTGTATTATTATAGAAATATTTAAAAATATAATATAAATTGCATATATAAGATCAAACGTGCTTGTATTGTCGAAAATGCGATAGAAAACCTCTATTTCTGATGGTGCGTGCGACCATGAGATGTAAACGTCCGCCACTAGAAAATAAAGTCCTATAATTCAAACATTGTGTGGCGTATTAAAACCAAATAGAGCCTTTAGATGATCAGAATTTCAACCTGACTGATAGCGATGACAATTACCCGGCTATGACTATGGTGCCGAATGTGCCCCATCAAATGCCGAAGGTACCCCGGGTTGGGCACATTCGGCGAATTTGACTTTTTTACAAAACTGTAAAATGTTTTAACTAATACTATTTTTTTTATATCTTTTTGGTACTATTTTTTATAATTAAGTGTCAGAAGACAATAATCAGCAATAAAGTTGTTCTAAATGTTGAATAAGTACTGAGATATAGAGCTATAAAAAAAAGTGCCGAAGGTGCCCCAGTCTCCCCTACAGGTCGCATTTATTATTCGAATTGGATAAATCGGTTCAGATTTAGATATAGCTCCCATATATATTTCCGTCCGATTTAAGGTAAATGGTGCACCAATGTCCCTTAATAGCTTTCGATTTCCACGAAATTTGGCACAGCGTACTGAATTAAGCCTGGAATGACGTGTGCTAAGTTTCGTGAAAATCGGGTCAGATTTAGATATAGCTCCCATATATATTCTCGTCCGATTTAAAGTAAATGGTGCACCAAACTCCTAATGTTTGTTCGATTAACACGAAATTTTGCACAACGTATCGAATTGAGACTTAAATGACGTTATTGGGTTTTGTTGAAATTGGTGCATATGCAGCCATAGCTTTCAAATGTATTTCGATCGGGCGTACCAAATAGCGTGTATCAATTTTGCTATAAATCGTTTTCTACAAATTTGTCCCACGGTACGCAGGCGACCCTAAATCTGCCCGAATGAAATTAAATTTATCAAACTTTGCAGAAAGACATGAGTATGTTCCTTCGAGGGAACATTGACATATAATTGTGAGGATACATATGTACAAAATACCCAAAGTGGTGAAGGGTATCATATAGTCGGCCCAGTCCTACTTTACTACTTTCCTTACAGGTTTCCAATTCCAATAGGGTTCGTCCTTGGGCTAAACAACATTGCTCCAAAAAGTACAAGTACGGACAGGCGGACATGCATAAATCGACTCAGAAAGTGATTCTATGTATATTCTCAAAAATAACCATGGGTCTGGCTTTCGGTCAACTTTCGAAGAGTTCATTCATAAAAAATCGGTGTTCTGTTCATTCACATAAAGCAATGATTTTCAATAGTTTTTCGTTTCTAAGACAATTAATGGTTTAGATATAGACCACACAGGAGATATTATTAGATATTGCTACATATAACTGGCTTCCGATATTCGGAATTTTAAGGATCTTTGCAACGAGTTTTAATGGGATGGTTTTTCAAATTCTTTGAAAGTAACTGTCAGTTTACCGATGGTGGAAGCTATTAAACGTCATTTTCCCTTGTTAATTCTAATCCAAATTTTAATGATGAATGATTCTAATTTGGCATTGATCTTTCTTAGTTAATAGGAAACCCAGTGTCAAACTTCTTATGCCCACCACCGTGAGATTGGCATTTAATTTGATCGTAATTAATATCAAAACAAAATGTGGCGGAACAATATAGTAGCTACGATAAAACCTGTACCCATATTATTATTATTTTGTGAACAAGTTTATTAAGTCTTAAGAAGCCTCAAAAGGCTAAATCTTTATATGGGAAATATATTAAAACATGAATCTGTATTCCTATTCTGTGAATATGAAAGCAATGTATGTAAAATTCATCCATATCTTGCAATATTTATACATGTAATAACATATGGTAAGCTATGATTTAATTAGGCAAGGCCATGTTTCTGTTTATACAACATAATTAATTTTATAAATTTAATTTGTATGTTGTATTAAATTAACAACATTATGTTTGGTTAATTAAATCGACTCTTTGTATTACTTTTCTCTTCTGTTGCAGGGTGAACTACAACAACTACTGATATTACCACGACTGCAAGGACGTCGGCAATGTTCAGACAAACGAATATCCATAAATGAAGTGAAACGTTATATAATCGATACATTTATCGGTGATTATGGGAATTAAAGCAGAAAACGTTTTGTTTTGTAATTTGTAACAGAGATTTAATTTTCTTTTAGTCTGATTTTCCTTTTGTGAAACGATACAATAAACTAGGAAAAATATCCAAACAAACACACACACACAAAAACATTTTTGCTACATAACTAAAGTATAGTCATGAAAAAACAAAAAACAAAACATAAGCTGATTAATAACAAAAACAAAACTAATGAATATCTTAATAAGTTTCTGAGAATATATTATGAATATATTTTTCATATAAGTTTAAGGCGAAAAAACCAATTTGCAATACAATAAATGTAATTGATTATATATTATTACTATTATTATGATTATTATATACAGACATTAGTGCATATATATGTATACATTATTATGGAAAAAACAACAGCAACAACAGAAAAAAGGACGTAAACTAAGAGACAAATAAAGAAACTTATAAAAGTATTATTACTAATAAATTGGAATAAAAAAAAACAAGAAAATATGAAAAATAATTGTATACAATTGATGATTGAACTTTTAATTGGATACACTGAAGTGGCGATCAATAAAGGTAAGTATATTATGCTTTAATAATTATGAAGTGGTAGTCTATTTATAACGTATTAAAATTTCATTAGAAAGGTGTGTGAGAAATGCCAAAGCAAGACACTTTATGTGATACTATATATAACGAAAATGTGAATATATATATATGGGAAATTACAAAAATCTTTTAAATTCCTTGAAGCTGAGGTTTGCAAAGTTATAACTCGCGAAATATGAACATATTGCATATAATTTAAATTCATTTCTATAAAATGAAGTGTTCTTGTCGAAATCTTAAAATATTGGTAATAAATAATAAGTTTGGTGGAAGCTGTGATGGTGGTAATGTAAAAAAGTGGGTGAAAATGTGTTGAAGCCAACGAGTTTTTTTGTGTTCCTTCCTGATTTGTCGCTAAACTACACAACGCACGAACATGTGATCAGTGACTAAGTTGCAGAATACCCCATGGACAATATGGTTCTAATGTATGATTTTCCATCCACCCAAAATGGATGCTGACATTTTGAAGCCGGACTTTCGGTGTTTTTTGAATTTTTCTTATAATTAGGATGCGCATCCAGATAATTCACTAAACTAATTATAGGATTGTAGAACTCGTGATTTTACTTCGTTTAGTGTATATCTCATGAATGTGCTCTTCGTAGCTTATTTACAATTGGATTCCAAAGACAAAAATTTGGTGCGTAAATTTTTATAAAAAATCTGTTTTTTGAGTCTACATTTAAGAAGGTCCATTCAAATTCCGTGGAACCCCGCGTGATTTTAGTTTTTTTACGTGCCGGATCTAATGAGCCCATCCATGATCTATTCCGTCCAATAAAACAGCGGATATAGGTACCTTGAATGTGGGAAAACCAGCAAAAACTTATTTTGACAAATTCGCGTATATAATCGCGTTTTTCTTCGAATTGATTTCACATACATTCATTCTTGTGTTATCATATTCGCGAATCTGTGTGAAAGTAAGTCAAAAATATATCGATACGCGAATAATATGCGTATTTTATCCAAAATCAATTGTGGAGGCACATCCGCGGTTCTTAACAAATTCTTTTAAAATAGGTGTACTTTTGTGTATTTTCATTGCAGATTACTGAAATCTGATGCGCATAAAAATCGTATGCACGTTGCGTCATTTTTAGCAATTTTTACGGTTTTTGCATAGTAAAGCGCATCGTGCGGCACACTTTGGCCGCTAAATGAAACATCGAAAAATGCATAATTATTGGAAGAGATTGATTCGGTTTATACGAAAATCGCATGCGCATCAGCTGATTTTAACGAATACGACAATTGCATGCTTTTTAATATTGATTATTTTGATGTATTGTAAATGTAATATATTGAGTCATTTTTAAAGTCGAAACTCTTATCAGATGAATCTACCGATATTTAACAATCATCTAAAAGAATTTGCAGAAGAAAGCGTCGCATATTTTAGAAGATTAAGGCAAAATCGTATTCCATAATTTATATTATTTTCAGATATCTTCATTTTTCTTTTTGTTTTTCGCGATAATTAAACCGTGTTTCAATGTGATTTGACTAGTATGCAAATAAAACAAATGTGTTTATCCATTTGTGAAGAAATTCGCGAATTACAACAAATAAACATTCATTTAATTTATGTTTGAAATACGAGATTTAAAACCGCTATAACTTTTGTGCGCAGCATCCGAATTTGTGAACGTGAACAGATTTCGAATCAGCATATTTTTTTTAACCTGTGTACCAAAAATCATAAATGTGCTCGAAAAATTTTTTTTAAAATTTTTTTAATTGAATTTTAAAAGAATTTTTTAATTTCCCATATATATATATATATATATATATAATGCTGGTGTTTCTGCAGAAGAGCTGTTGGATGCAATTGGGCTTTAAATTCAAAGATGATTCACTGGTACAAAGATACCAATTCGAACATACGGGATCGTAATTTGGTGGCTAAGACGATGAAGATTGCAATGATAGGATTAATGTTATGATAGGACCTTGAATATAGCGAAAAAGACGTGAGAAAAGATGACTACTTTATAGGAGGGTTAGCGTTTTATGGGGATATACCAAAACGGGGATCAATCTTGAAAACTTTCGGTATTGAAGTTTGACAGCCAATGAGAATACAAATTACAGCCAAAAGTTTCCATAATACCGGCTTTTGTCAATGTTAATCATTTTTAGTACAGAGATGGGAGTACCTTTCTATCGGGGCTACCCTGAGACGTGGTTCCATGTTATTAATATTTAGTACTAGGATGTGCTATGCAGTGAGAACCCAGCCAATTCGGTTAAAAACGTATCGAAAATCCCAAAAATACCGAATACTGGGGGAATACTCGGGGATTAACTTGACTCAATATTATGTACTGAGACGTGTTATACAATGAGAACCGAAAGTACCAAATTACAGTTATTCGGTAGAAAAACGTTCCCTAAATTCGGAATATTGGGAGGTACCTTTATATGGGGGCTACACCTCAGCGTGGACGTGGAAGAGTACTAACAATGTCTGTGCAAAATTTCTGTGCTCTATCTTAAATATTGCGATATCTATCGTGATTTTCACATACAGACGGACAGAGGAACACACATAAATCGACATAGAATTTCAAGGTTTTGCAAACAGTGTTTAAAATGTAGCATCAACAAATATTAGCATCAGCTTTACACAGCTACTGCTAAAAATATTGACATTATGGCTAAATCAGGAAACGGCTAGCTTTTTTAATTCATAGCATTTGTGCTAAGCACGTATTACACATGCACAACACACAAATAAAAATTATTTTATTTTGTGTGTTGTTATTTAATTTAAAATTGTCAAATCGTAATCAAAAACTAAATTACATTATTAAACTAGCGGGACCAGTGGCGCTTCGCTGTCTACTAAAGTTATTTACATAGTATAGTTTTGTTTCCTAAAAATCTTTCTAATTAGCCACAGTCAAAGTGCTTAGCCTTCATTGTAGTTGTTCATTGCTATTTTGTAGTTGCTAACAATATCGAGAAGCTTTAGCTTTGCTTGATAAAATTTTTTGGAATGTGTTGCTATTTGTTGCATTTGTGCTTGGTGTGTTATTTTGAGGATGAATTTAGCAAGCACTGCGGTAATTTTCGGTGTTTTTGCTATTTTGGCGTTAGCATTTTACTCAGGTTGCAAACGGAATGGCAAATTTAATATACACTCCACCTTATGCTGGATGGTATAATAAATGTCGTTCAATTTGGACCATTTTTGTGGGAGTTAGAGAGATTTCAAACTGAAATTTTAATATTTTAACTTGGGGTAAAAACCTTTATTGGTTAGGGAAGTATGTATGGCAGTTTCCGAAGCTCAGCGATGAGCAATTGGAGTGATTTTGTGTGAAAACTTTGTGGTTAAAACCAGCAAGACTCCAAAATATCAAAAATTTGGATGGTATGGTTTAATGGAGGCTTCCATAAAAAGATTTATAATTTGTAATAAAAAGTTTTCAACCAAGTAAGGATCCATAATTCCAAATTAGAGCATTTTAGGTTGAAAACTTGTACCAAAACTTCAAAATACCCAAAAATGGGGCTATCAAAAAAGTGGGCAAATATATCGCATTTCCATAGGAGAAGTAGCAATCTCTATCTTCAATATTTTAAGCTCTATTGAGATTTCAATAAACAGACGGATGTGGCTAATATGCAATGTTTTTCTGATCAGGAATATATAATTTATGGAATACATGAGGTGGAGGGTTTGATGAAATATAAATAGAGTGGATCGATACCGGGCATAATTCGCGGCAGGAAAATTAAATGCAGGCGACAATCAGGCTAGTTATGTCATGTGAAAAACTGATAGCAGACATAGAGCCTATGGAATAACAAACGGACTGGAAAGAAAATAAAAATAACAGATGTCTTAACAAAATAGAAATTAGTAGGCTTGACAATCACATTTAGACAAGATTTGTTCCGTCAGAATGACAAAGTGTAGAAGTGCAGATAAGACTTCGAAACTTAAATCCCAATTTTTGGGATGTAACACTATTCGTGATCTAAACGCCATGATCGATATTAATGAAAATACGGACTAAAATTAATTTTGACTATTTATCTAAAACCAAGTAACAAAGAAATATATGCTTCATTGGAATTTGACCGAAGAATCCAGGCAAAGAATGGTTAAGCGGAAGAGTAACCATATGACCAGATTTGCCAAATTTGCTGCGAAGTGCTTGTTCCATGAACTACTTTCATTAGATTTGGCTATTCAGACAATTACTTTTTGTTTGGAGCTCATATACATAGATCTATTACTCATTATCTGTGACGGTCTTATAAACGTCTTAAGAAAAACTGCGATCGAACGAACTTTTTTTAGAGATTGTCATGTTGAGCGAGATTAAATGAGAACTCCAAAACAATGCCGAAAATTGGGGGATAAATTATATTGGGGCTATGGAAATTGTTGACTAAT